GCTACTCCGAATTGATTTATATATACAAATATTCAGACGTACACACACAGACACACACACACACAGACACACACAAACACACACACAGACACACACACACACAAACACACACAGACAGACAGACAAACACACACAGACAGACAAACACACTAGCAGACACGCACACAAACACACACACAAACACACACACAGACACACAAACAAACACACACACAAACAAAAACACACACAGACACACAACCATACACCATTTATTCTTGATAATGATGTTGAAATAGATGATGAAACACGATAATGTTGATGGCGTGGATGATAATGATGACGGATGATGATGATGATAGTTTTTTGTTATCTCTTCACGGTCAGCAAAGCAATGCATGTCCAACAAATAAGTTGTTATGTTCATTTGATCGCTTTGCCATCCATCCATCCGTTCACTCATTCATTTTTTATTCATTTATTTTATTTTTTCAAACATTCATTCACTTGTTCATTCATTTATTCGTTCGTTTGTTGTTCACTCATTCATTTGTTTGTTTGTTTGTACATTGTTTGTCGGTTCGTTCGTTCATCTTTAGTTGGTTCATTTATTTTATTGTTGTTGTTTGATGATATTGTTGTTTGTCCATTCATGTACTGATCAAAATTTCAGCCAGTCTATCAATGACTCATTGTTAAATTCATTAGTCCCGTTCGTTCGTTCATTCGTTCGTTCGTTCGTTCGTTTGTTTGGTTACTCATTCGCTCATCAGGTTCGTTTATTTGTTCGTTCGTTCGTTCGTTAGTGCACGCATAAAAGCATTATTTTATTTGTTTATTCATTCATTCATTCATTTATTCGTTTTCATTCATTCACTCAACATTTTTATACACGCATGCATTCATCCGAATTATCATCATTCCATACCAAAGCATTTGTCCATTCATTAATGCATTCAAGTTGCCAGCAAACAAACAACAACAACAACAAAAACAACAACAACAATAATAATAATAATATTAAAAGATCATAAAATATTAAAGGCTCTGAAGATTTCGTTTAAAATGTGGATGACAGCCTGGCATTGTGACGATGGTGGTGATGATGATGATGGTGATGATGGTGATGATGATGATGGTGATGATAATGATGGTGATGATGATGATGGTGATGATGATGATGGTGATGATGGTGATGATAATGATGGTGATGATGATGATGGTGATGATGATGATGGTGATGATGATGATGATGATGACGACGACGACGATGATGACGACGATGATGACGACGATGGTGATGATAACAACGATGATGATGATGATGATGATGGTGGTGGCCGACTCGAGATGACCAGCGGAAATGAATGTAGCAGGAGAACGACAAACAGAGTCAAGGAATTTTATTAAAAATTTTGAGACATCATCATCATTATCATCATCATCGTCACTATAACATCATCATCATCGTCATCATCATTACCATTACCATCATCATCATCATCATAACCATCGTCACTATAACTCATCATCATCATCATCCAACAACACCAATGACGTCATCATCGAACGGTACTTAGCAGTCATACGTCCAGGGATACAACGTTAAAACAACTTTAAAAACCACCAATAAAACGCCCGTAACAATAAAAGTGAACGAATAAAGGAGGAGAAAAAAATAACAATAATAATAATAATGATAATAACGATAATAATAATAATAATAATAATAATAATGATAATAATAGTAATAATAATAATAATGATGATGATGATAATAATAAAAACACAAACAAGGAAAACAACAACGAAGAAGTATAAATAAAAATAAAACCACAGAGCAGCAAAAAGCCAAAAATGTCCGCCTAACACGGCAAGATGGCGCATAAAAATGATAAATGATCAATTAATGGAGAATGACGTAGGCTGATGACATCATAATATGCTGTAATCAAAGACTACGAATAATCACCCGACCACGTGATGCTAATAATAAATTGCTGGTTTTGAAGGCGCTATTGTTATTGCTCTTTATTCCAGCCGGTCATCATCATCAGCAGCGTCATCGTAATCAGCAGCAGCAGTAATAGTAGCAGCTGTAGTAGTAGTAGTAGCAGCAGCAGTAGTAGTAGCGGCAGCAGCAGTAGTAGTAGTAGCAACAGCAGTAGTAGTAGCGGCAGCAGCAACTGCAGTCAACCCCAACCCTTCCCGCCATCAACATTTTATCAGCATTATTATTTTCATCATTGTCAATGTCACCGTAATCATTTTCAACCAATTGATTAAACGCCTTTCTTTGTGTGTGTTGTGTGCGTGTGTGTTAGTGTGTGTGTGTGTGAGTGTGCGTATGTGTGTGAGCGTGTTTGTGTGAGTGTGTTTGTGTGTGTGCGTTTCATCTTTCTTTTATTCGACCGGCACGTCTGCAATTATTGTTGGCGAGCGTAAATCAAGAATGAAAGTAGTTATGTTTATTACGGTAATTGTGTATTTTTTTGTTGGCTGGGTTATTTGTTTGTTTGTTGGCTCGTTTGTATGTTTGTATGTTTGTTTGTATGTTTGTATGCATGTTTGAATTTTGATTACTTGTACTTATGTGTATGTTCGACTATTTGTTTGTTTCTTGGTTTGCAAGCAGGTAGAAGAAGATAAGATGGAAAGAAAGATAATTGAAAAAATTAAGAAGCAACAAATAGACAGAGAAAGAGAGAGAAAGAGAGAGAAAAAGAGAGAAAGAAGAAAAGTAGAGAGAGAGAGAGGGAGAGAGAAGAAAGAGAGATAGAAAAGTAAGAGAAAGTGACACTCACTTATATTCTGACAACGTACATCTATCACGGACCCGCCCTTTTTATGTTACAATTATGCATACTAATGAGAATAAAAGCTAGCAGACAACACACACACACACATACACACACGTACATACACACACACAGACGCACACAGACATAAAGATACAAACAAAGATACAAATAATTATGAATTATAAATTCAATTACGTCCACACATACATGTTCAAATGCTCCTATAATGTAACACTTATGTAAAAAGCTATGCATTATGCATAAACGTTAATACACACACACACACACGCACGCACACATTATGTTTGTTTGTTTGTTTGTTTGACCATAGATAAACACCCAACCACATTTAACCCAAACTCTTAACGTCACGCCACCACAATCATTATTATGATCATAACCATCACCATAATCTCAACCAATCATCATTATCATCACCGGCAATGATATCATCATTATCATAACCCCCTCAGTTACCATAGAAACATGCAACATGGAACTTTTGAACATCACGTGTCCCAGACAAGACGACCTAATTCTGGTAAGTCGGGCGAGGTACGGACGCATGCTGATTGGTCGCTGCGTTCAGGGGCAGTTCGGTCACGTGGGCTGTTTCTCTGACGTGATTGGCTACCTCGACGGCAAATGTTCCGGAAGAAAGGAGTGTCATTTTCAGGTTGGTGAGGAGAATGAAAATGACGATGATGATGATGACGACGATGATGATGATGATGGCTGTTGAATCAGAAACATTCAACAAGCACTCTGAGCCAGAATGGCACTTTTTGTTCATCATTAATAATTTCATTCGCCTGTTATTATTATTTTGAGCGCGCTTGGCTTAACATTAATTGCGCGCTCTATTGCTATTTATTTTAATAATAATAATAACAACAACAACAATAACAACAATAATAACAATAATAACAATAATAATAATAACAATAATAATGATGACAAGATCAATAATAATTTATTTTAGTGATTTCATAAATGTTCGCCCTGCTCTTTTATTGTTAATGTTCATACAGATTTTATTATTATTATTTTTTAAATATTATTATTAATATTTATCATTATTATTATTATTTATTATTATTTGTTATTTTTATTTCTTGTTTAAACGGCATAGTTATTTATTCCTTCCTGCCCATGTGGTATTAGACTGGAAAATAAATAATAGGACTATGGCCATGATGATAATAATAACAATAACAATATTACTACTACCACCACCACCACCACCACCACTACTACTACTACTACTACTCCTACTCTCTACTACTACTACTACTACTATTACTACTACTACTCTACTACTACTACTAATACTACTACTCTACTACTACTACTACTACTACTACTACTACTACTACCACTGCTGCTACTACTCCTACTACTACTATTATACTACAACTACTACTACTGATACTACTACTATTACTACCACTACTACTCTACTACTACTACTACTACTACTACTACTACTACTACTACTACTACTACTACTACTGCTGCTGCTGCTGCCACTACTATTACTACTACTACTCTACTACTACTACTACTAGTCTACTACTCCTCCTACTACTACTACCACCACTACCACTACAACTACTACTAGTAACATTAGTGGTAGTAGTAGTAGGGGTAGCAGTAGTAGTATTAATAATAAGATGAAAAAATAACAACAATAATAAATAATAATAATAATAATAAATAATAATAACAACAAAAGGTTCCTGACCAATCGCTGTACGACCTTCAGCCATGCCCAGTAGACTTTACATCCTATCTGGAAGTTACATACTCATGCATTACAGGTAAATAAATATGTAATAATAATAATAATAATAATAAAATAATAATAATAATAATATTTATTAATAATAATAATATTAATGATGATGATGATGATAATGATAATGATAAAGATAATGATAATGATAAGGATAATGATAATGATGATGATAATGATAATGATGATACTGATAATAATAATGATAATGACAATAATAATATTAGGAATATATATGTAAACTTTTATAAATTTTTTTTCTAAAGTAATTGTTCATTCTAAAACTTATAAGTAAATATAAATTTTTTATCTATTCGTTCATTCGTTCATTCATTCATTCATTCGTTCGTTCGTTCGTTCGTTCATTCGTTCGTTCATTCATTCATTCGTTCTTTCATTCATTCATTTATTTATTCGTTCATTTG